CTGCCAAGAGATTTGGTCACTTTAGTGAATTCCTTTTGGCAGGTTTAGGTGAATCCGTTCCAAGTTCACTGGGTTTTTGGGAAGCTGAGCTTGGCTCATTTTCTTCGGTCTTAGCATGTTCACCTCTTGGTCTCTGGCAGTTGATGCATAGGTCTTTTTTCCAAGCATTCTGGGTAAATTCGGCGCATGCAGACATTACGCCATCTGTCACACTTTCACTGACCATTTATCGTCTTTCTGGAATAAGAAATTTCATCATATTAATTATTATAATCATAAAGAACTATGTCTAGCAAAAACTTTTTAAGAAAATTACCAAGTTAACTATAGGCTCCATATCATCATAATCACATGTTATTTTAGAGGGTGCTAAGATTTATAAACCGTAAAATTATATTGTTTTGTAAACAGAAGAAAATGTCCTGGCTTAGCAGCTATTTTAAGAATGTCAATGGTAAAAAAAACAAAAACAGATAAGCTTTGATTTGTACATGCACCTGATTCCCTCTTAAGAAAATATACAAACAGACATATTTCTTTCATATAGGCATTTTGGAAGTACAAATGTATTCTTTTTCAAAATTTAAACAATAATTTTTGTATCTGATAGTATTACATGATTGTAGCTTTATACACTTAGTTATAAAGTTGTATAACCTGAAAATATCTCAATATCATATTACTGTATTAACAAAAGGTAAAACAATCAAATAATACCATGATTACTATTTCTATTTTGTGTAACAATTAATTATTACAATATGAGTTAGTAAATGCATATAACCCTATTTACCTGGCAATTATTATAAAATGTGTATGGGGAACTTAATTTAATGATACCCTGCATGGTACTTAATCTTAACTTTGTAACTCAAAATTTATTTTTTCTACATGTCCCAATACGAACATTTTTAGACGTATGCACAAATTTAATGGATTACTATTGCTTCTTGCAGAAATGAGTAAAAAGTTGTTCCAATTTTACGTAAAAATCAAGAGATTTTAAAAATTTTGTGCAAAAACTTTCCTGTTTAGGAGTATGAATAAAATATGTCAATTCCGACCAATTTTAATTAACACTGATCACATGGAAATATTGAGTCACGTCACGACAAAACCAACATAGTGCATTTGCAACCAATATGGATCCAGACCAGCCTGTACATTCGCGCAGTCTGATCAGGATCTATGCAGTGTTCGCTATCAGTTTCTCTACTTGTAATAGAGTTGGTAAGCAAACAGCATGGATCCCGAGAAACAATACATTGTCTAGAAAATGCTTATTAACCATTAAATTGCTCTATCTAAAACTATAATAAGAAGAGAAGTTAAATTTTACCATTTCTATAATCATAATCCAATAAAACACCATTCAAATCAAACCAAAATGCAAAAAGTATCAAAGTAAAGGCAAACAGAACCACCTTATGAAAACCTGATTCATATAATTCATCTAATTCTAAGCCTTCTATTCTATTCATTACTTAACAAGCACCAAGAGACAACAAATTTCCAACATAACAACAATACTCCAAGTCCGAGACAAAATTTACGGAATCCATTTCAATAATTGCTGAAATACATACATTATTCAGAGCATAATGGTTTGTCCTACAGTTTCTGCCGGAATAGAAGGGCGTTCAACGTAGTCAACATACAAAATCTACAATTAATGGCCATTACAAAATTAAGCCAAAATGTTAATTACAACACATTATGTAATTGACTAATTTGTACGACTACCTTCAAAGGTTATGTAAGCTATTTCCTTAGTAATTAACAACTTTTTTTCTATGATTGCTTATAAATATGTTAAAATTTGAATATTTATTATTACTTAGAAAACTGAATCATTATGAGTGAATACATCACTGTATTTTAACATTATTTAAAGGGACTCCACTGAGGTTTTTTGACATGATGGGACTGAAAATATTTTTTTCCAGATAAATGTACCATTTGACGTAGGTTTAGACCACTAATCTTTGTGCAAAATTTCATATCATTCGCGCACTTTATTTTTCCAGAATAATTATTCAAATTGTAAATTTTAACGCTTTTCACTCAAATCGGGCTAAAGGAAAGCATAAAATACGATTTTCAATTTATTTCAAAGTGTATTATTAAACTATCTTTGCATATATTTCTGTTTAAAGGGCCCCAACTCATTTATGTAAGAAATTCAAATGTTATTTTTTAGGCTTTTAAACCTCAGTGGAGTCCCTTTAAGACTGCTGAATCTCTCAAAACTTATAATGATCAAGTTTGGGGACTGTAAAGATGAAAATTTGTAGATGGTCAGTATAGAGAGAGCCTTGTCAAACTGCCTGGATTTGTAGGCTGGCCTGGCTCTATACTGCAGGTAAAAGTTTCAGTTCTTTCTATTCTTCTACACTTAACCTTGAGGCTTGTCCTGCTATGAATTTTAATTGCACTGTCCATTTTTTAAAACTTTTTTTTTTTAAAGAATATTAATAAAATACTTAAATTGAGCAACCAACAATTTAGGGCCTTCAGTTACATTTGCATAGATATGCAGGCTTAGTAACCTGGGCAAAGGTGAAGATCTTGTTATACATTTATTTGTTAAAGAATTCAATGGGTATACCCTCGATCTACTCATAATAGCTGTTGTTTCTGGCTCTGTACCTGTACAATACCATCTCATTGTTGTTATATGAGCCGTGTCATGACAAAACCAACATAATGGGTTTGCCACCAGCATGGATCCAGACCAGCCTGCGCATCCGCGCAGTCTGATCAGGCTCCATGCTGTTCGCTATCAGTTTCTCTACTTGTTATAGGGTTGGTAAGCGAACAGTATGGATCCTGATCAGACTGCGCAGATGCGCAGGCTGGTCTGGATCCATGCTGGTCGCAAACCCATTATGTTGGTTTTGTCATAGAGCGGCTCAAATTTTTCTGGTCCTTCAGGATCATTGATTCTAGTTCATTTCGTTTTAGGGATTGTAACTTATAGGGTGTGAATGATGTTACAATTTTCATTATTTATAATAAGTCAGTTAAGCTGTTTTTTGCACCAGCTGAGCAAGTGACAAATCATTTTCTAAACAAAGCTAGACTATTATCGTTTTGTGAACAAAGAATTTAATGATAATTTTCTCTTGCAGATAAAGAACTTACATGAACGATCGAGTACTGTAATAACAGTTATAACATTTTGCTACATAAAACAAATGCATTTTGCATGTTGCAAGTCGTTTGTAACAACTTAACCTTTTACTGGGTGTAAAAACAATAATTTCTTTGTTACAAAATAGGTTAAAAAATGTGACATATATTAGTACAAAGATGGGAGAACAATAAATGTAATTCAAGTACAAAAACCCATGCTGTACTTAATGACCTAAAAACATAGGTAAAAAAAATCGAACCATTACATCTAAACTATTTTATCTATTATACTAGATATATACTGTAAATGTATTAGTTACCCAGTTACGCGTGACGTGCAATGTAAAATTGAATATTTGACAATTAGATGAACCCAAATATTTTGATCTGATTTCAGATAAATATACACCGCTTATCAATAAATACCTTTAAAAATTCATCTATAAAGTGTATTTAACCTGGGGTGAACTTTTTTTTTTTCTTTACACAAAAGACCATGATTTAGGTTACTTAAGTTGATACCCTTATAATGAGACTGTCTCTAGATTTATATAAAATCTAATTTATTCCAGAATTTATAGTTTCCAAAATTTAAGTTTTTCTCTGTTTTTTTTTCCATATAATAAAAGTTTTCAAAATGACTTAATTAAAAAAAAAAATATGTTTTAAATTGAAAAATGTATCATTCTGTACATAATCAACAAATGCTTTCAAATTCATGCTAATCTTTAAGAAAATTTCAAAACTTGTTTTTAAGAGTTAAAGAAAGTGTACAAGAAAATGCTTTTAAATTAATATTTATCATGCTAAATCATACATATTTTTTTTAATGCCAATCTTTCATTTTAGAAAAAACCAGACTTCTAATTTTTAGAGAAATTTTCAAAATATGTACTGACTCAGAATAGAAAACAGTGTGACCAGTCTGACCTTGGTCAGTTTTGGTCAAATGAGTAGAATCTGTTGCAGGGCCTATTAGCCACAAAAATTACATTTAACTATAACACAAATAGCCTTTTAAAGTTGAATAAATAAAATAAAATGCTGTTAAAATAGTGACTTTTATATTAAATCATTGTTAGTGACTGTGTATATTTTTCTTACTTTATTAAATTATACATACAATTTTACTTGACAATCAATTTTTTCAAAATGTGTTCCTGTAATGGGGTACAATTGTGCTGCTTAAAAAACAATCATAATGTATTACTAATTAATATTATACACCAAACAAAACAAAGACATTATGTATCAAAGTTATTTATAATAAAAAATGTACATATGACATTGGGTAAATAATAAATAAATCTAACTTACAAAGTTTCAAATCCTCTGAAAATTTTAATTTTTAAATGTTTTAATTTTCAACTTTTCGTAAGAGAACTTTTTTTTGTCAAAACCCAATCACCTGTATACATGAGATTGTTATAAAAGTTTACCAATAAAACTACCCAATAAAACTTCTGCATTGTACCTTTTGTATGTTTATGATAATCACAGTACCTGACTTTATAAATAAACTACAATATACCATGATGTTAGCACATTTTTTATTGGGACAATATTTTATAATAGAGTACCAGTATTATCAGATATAACTCCCCTGTTTATAGTTATAAGCCGTAGATCACAGTCATTATATACATGGTAAATCAGTGCGCTGTAGAAAAATCTAGAGTGTATAGATCTAAGGTGACAAATTGACACAGTCATGGGTGTTTATTTCCATAATAGTTCAATAATTAACACATTTAAAAGTAAGGAAGGGCATGTTTGTAATCCTGTTTTTTTGCACACTTGAAACTTAATAACCCTTTCACTGCCAGAGGGTTATTGATTTATTGATCACATCAATTTGCCAGAGGGTTTTCTAAGAAATTACTATATTATAATATTAATATAATTATTATAATTTGTTATTAGTATTGTAATAATTATATATATTTCCAAATCTGCTAGTATAATAATTATTGTCGATCATATAATTATCTATATATTTATTGGCGATGCCGGTGAGCGGCGTCGTCTTTTATGGAATGCTTTTTATTTTTGCCTATGGAAGGAGCTGTTATTATTAGCAGTTAATTTCATGTTGTGTTAATTATATTTATTTTGATTCGTAAAAATCAAGTAAACAAATATGTTGTTATATTTGTATTTAATAACTTTATATAAAAAGCATGTACATTGTGATATTATTTTCACGAAATTGCAGGCTCTGATTAACAGCTTGTCCCTTTGTTTTATTGACAATACTAAAACCTGGATTTCGAATATCGTTGTGGTCTACATTGATGCTCATTCATTTCTATATTTTCAAAACTTTCCTACAAGAAGAAAGTTCACCTGCAAATGAGTATTAGGATAGGTAATGGACTGTTGTAAACGATTATCCTATTGATTTTATCCATATAATTACGTTTATCTGTTGAACAGAATGGTTGTTTTTACAAAGTGTACCAGTATCCGGATGTTGACAGCTATCCGATTTTCTGCAATTATTATTATTATAAAAATGGCAAAAGCCGTCCATGCATATGGCAAATACTTCGAAAATAATAGGAACGGCATAATGTCATCCTTATGGCAGTGAAAGGGTTAAAATTACACTCTAGGTTGGGTAATTTTATAATGAACCCAAACATTACCTTTCGCCTCCTTTTGTCAGTTTATACCGTAAAACCTACTTTTCATGATATATAATAATAAAGCAATGTTACCATTCTTTATGACATTTGTTTATATTATAATCTATTATACCATTTAAGACCTCATACAACAATTTTAAATGCTACATTGTTTGCTTTCATTATCTACCATGGTTAAATTTTGTTAGTACTATTGTCATTTTGCATCTATATTTGTATAAAAAAACATTCTTATTTACTACTTTAGACCCCACACTAACAGTCTTTAAATAAGCCCCCAAAAACTATATTTCGAGATAAGAACGCAAATACATATATCAGTAACTTTGAAAAAAAATTAAAAAGTAACCTCTGCCAGACATAGTGGTATTTCCTACTTGCAATTTATTTCATACAAAAACTAAGGGAGTCCAGTCATAGTGTCTATTCTAGGAGACTCCTATTTTTGAGAATTTCCCCTATTTTCTCAGAGGCAAGGAGGAAATTTTACATAGAGAAAGAAGAAAAAAAAATCAACAAATGTAATAAATCCTTACTTTTCGATAAAAATCCCCCTGTTTTTCAAATCCTAGAACAGACACTCAAGGTCCTTCCAGTATGATTTCCCGGCAGGATCAAAACCCACATTGAAATTTAAGTATACAGTAAACATATTTTTACTACCTGATGATTTAATCAGACTATACAATGTGTACTGATTACTGTCAGAGATTACCTTAAACTTCCTTTCAAATTCAAAAATCTATTTATTATTCAAATCATGGCAAAAGCAAACTTTAAACCCTTTTTGAAGTTCCAAACAGCTGGTGCTATTTGATTAAGATGATTATTACTGGATGGTATAAACAAAAGATAAAACTTTCTAAACCAATGTTTCGAAATAAAAGGCTTTAAAACAAACTTTCAATTTTCACCAAACTATCATAAAAAGAAATAAGATTTTAAAAAGATTTTAAATGATATCTCTGGGAGAACTCAGAGTGATGAAATACTCTTGTTTATTTCCTCTCAAAGCAACATCAGACTGTGCATTATCTGAATGATTTTCAATATTAAATTACAATGGCTCACAGACTGGTTTTATTTATAATTGGAAGTTCAAAATTCAAATTGACTGGTTCACAAGTTTTTCAAATGTTAAAATTTGAAAAATAGAAGCAGTGCAAAACAAGCTACCACTGTCTATAGATACATGAAAAGCAAACACAATTTTATTATTGGTAGAACCCTGCACGAAAAATCAGCATGGCTTTTATGAAAAACAGGACCGATTCAGGCCTGTTTTGAACCAGAATTGGCAAAATCAGGGTGAAATAGACATGGACCCTGAATTTTCAAGAAATCTCACATGGGAATTCAAGTTTTTTCTACCCTGACATCATCTTCATTTTGGTAAAAGTCAGGGTGGAAGCAGGAATATTTGCACTTTGAAAATATTTTGACACAGATTTTACTGACTTTGAGAAATATAAGCAAACTCTACCCAGATATTTCAAAGTTAGAAAATTTTCAAGAACCGGTTTCAATACAGTCCTTAAAAGTTCTTCAATTCCAGCCAGATTTTTCTTAGTTAGAGTTATTAGAAATGAATATTGTAATACACTAATAGTACAGTTTACATTGCTGTTAGACAAAATAAAAATTTTAATTCAGAAGAAAAGATATTATAGTATATATTTCTGGAAAGTTTCAGTTGATTTATGGTATACTCCATTTAACAAAACTTCTTTTCATTTACTGAATTATTCTTTTATTATTTTTTTTTGAAATTATGTAGATTATTTAGCTCAACATGATTTATTGTTATATATAAAATTGATAATTGTTACTACTAATTGATTGTTTTTATATTTAACTGATGACAAAAAATTTATTATTTAATGCATTTATTGGTCAGCAATAAGACACTTAGTAATGTTCAAGAGTTTTAGTTTTTATCCACCATCTCACAATCTGCACAGAATCTCCTACCTCTAAGGTCAGCTTACAGTTTATATAAACAAACAACCTTCAAGTGGAACTTTATCCAGTATTTCAAAATACTTTATGTTAAACTGGGCTATCTGGTAGATGAAAATAGAGAAGTTACCACAGATTGACTGACAGCGGTTTAAAATGCCGAACAAATATCACACCCTGAACATTATTTCCAGCATGGTCATTTTCTAAAGAAAGATTGGAGGCTTTAGTTGTGATTTTAATTCAAATAAATCAACTTACATTTATATATTAATACATAAATGAGTTTTGTTAATTACCTAGAAAATGAGATTTTAAGATTTCAACTACCCCAGCTATACAGAACTTTCTTGGGAAATTTATTGTGAAACTTATATATAAAATGGAGCATAATAGATGTGTTAAACTTCGTTATTCAATTTGAAAAAATGGAGGGAAATAAGCAGCCAATTGTAACAGATCAATGGTAAGTTATAATTGAATTACAGTTTTAAATAATTTTTAATTTTTCATAAAATAATGAATTTTTGTAAGCTCAGTATTCTGAAAAGATTTTAAATAAATTTCCAGGACACCTGTTTTAAAATATGGAGGGAAAATGAAATAATTCTTAATATTTCTAAATAAACTATACATTTTGTAGAAAAAGAAACTACTGAAGTCTTAAAATGTAATAAAAATGATGACATGATTGATATTTGTTTTGTTTTTTTTCTAATTCCAAAATTTAGGTTGAAGCCAAATATTTCAGTAACAATATGTGACAAGACGATGAAGAAGAAGAAAATGGTGTAGTTGGAACAAAATAATACAATAGAGGAAATATTACTGGTAATTTTTAATTTTTTTCATTTTCTATGAAAATTAGTTTCAGTTTTAATTATTAAAAGCAATTATTCCCGCAAATTTTATTGGAATTAATGACTTCATGAAGTCAGTACATATATGTTTATAATGCTGTAGCTTCTTTAAAATAATTTCATCAATCATTTCTTCTTTTGATTTTGATGTTTTGATTGCAATTAATGAAATATTTTACCTTTAAAACTACACTGTATGGACATATTTCTCTATATTTAGGTGTTACATTTTCTTTTAGATTAATATATAAATTGAAAGCTGTCTACAGAATATTCCTACACTGCTTTCATATGTTTACAGATTGTGTGGTACAGATACTATAGTGTGGAATTATGTAATACAGTGTGCAGCTATCTAGTGGAAATATCAAACAAGAATGACTTTTGAAATGTATTTAATTGTATGAAAATCAAATACAGATAAGTGAAAAAAAAGATCTCAATTATTATTTTGTCAATTATCAAAAAGAACAGGAACCTGGGCGGATTTTTATTTTAATTTCAGGGTGGGATTCGCAAAATTTTGGGGCAGGATAATAACAGGAAGAAAAAAGTCTGGCCTGACTTTTTAAATAGAAATCAGGGTGAATTATGGCTCATTTAAATATTTCAAATTAATCCCAGCCTGAAATTGCTCTTAATTTAACTAGAAGTAAATCTATTTTTAGAAATCTGTGTGAGTGAAAATTCTGCCCTGGATTTCCATTTCAGGGTGGTATTTTTTCTGGCTCATTTAAATATTTCGTTGAATCCACCCTGAAAACACTATATATTGTATACTAAAAAATCTAACAAGAGCTGTCGGTAGGACAGCATGCTCGACTATTCTTAGTGCTTGATAGTAAAAAAAATGCCTGATACAGTTACCTCCTCCTGTTTACAGGTTGGGGTCATGATGGTGAACAAGTGTGCAAAGTTTCAAAGCCATATGTCAATGGACTTTGAAAATATTTGAACTATTACAAAAACTTTAACGTAAATTCTAAGTCGAAAAAGGGGCATAATTCTGTCAAAATGCTTGATAGAGTTACCTCCTGCTGTTTACAGGTTGGGGTCATGATGTTGAACAAGTGTGCAAAGTTTCAAAGCCATATGTCTATGGACTTTGAAAATATTTGAACTATTACAAAAACTTTAAAGGAAATTCTAAGTCGAAAAAGGGGCATAATTCTGTCAAAATGCTTGATAGAGTTACCTCCTCCTGTCTACAGGTTGGGGTCATGATGGTGAACAAGTGTGCAAAGTTTCAAAGCCATATGTCAATGGACTTTGAAAATATTTGAACTATTACAAAAACTTTAACGTAAATTCTAAGTCGAAAAAGGGGCATAATTCTGTCAAAATACTTGATAGAGTTACCTCCTCCTGTCTACAGGTTGGGGTCATGATGGTGAACAAGTGTGCCAAGTTTCAAAGCCATATGTCAATGGACTTTGAAAATATTTGAACTATTACAAAAACTTTAACGTAAATTCTAAGTCGAAAAAGGGGCATAATTCTGTTAAAATGCTTGATAGAGTTACCTCCTCCTGTCTACAGGTTGGGGTCATGATGGTGAACAAGTGTGCAAAGTTTCAAAGCCATATGTCAATGGACTTTGAAAATATTTGAACTATTACAAAAACTTTAACATAAGTGGTTACGCCGACGCCGACGCTCGGGTGACTGCAATAGCTCTACTTATTCTTATCGAATAGTCGAGCTAAAAATAGATTTCTGTCTTCTCTATAGTCAACTGAATAGTAAAAAAAAACTGGCTGGGAATAAATTTCTGATCCCATGTCAAATCAGGGTGTAGTCAGGGTAGGCATTTTCGTACAGGAAACTAAAAGTCTTCTTATTTTTTGTTGTTGTTTTTATTTTGCATCTATTTGTTGTTGTTTTATAATAAAAATACTACTCTCCCAAACAAGACAAGAGCATTACATGACTGTATGTCCCTTATATTTTACTGATCAATATTGTACAGGCACAAACACAACACTTTTTTGTTTCTCAAGAATGGTTAATTAAAACATCCAAGAAGCTGAAAATCAATCTTACCAAATCTATAATTGAAGCCAAATAACGGGGCAATTAATGTAATACTCTCCTTTGGGCTGTGATCATTTAGCGTGATGACAATGACAATAATGAAATGGTAAAAAATCTCCCTTCCGTAATTAGCCAATCAGCTTCCAGGAATAAAAGAGATGATGATGACAATTTTGTGAAAATATTACTTTTAGATGTCTAGAAAAGAGATGTTGGTAAATAAGATGTCTGTAAGTAAATTTATGACAATATGGTCTTAGAAAGAGACTCAGGAAGGCATAACAAAAGATGCTCATAAGACAGTGCGCTCAACTATTAAAATACTTGACTTAAAGAAGAGGCAAAACTCTAAAAAAAAAGAAGATAACTTAGATAGATTAGGCCCGATAGATTATTTTGATATGCTGTTTTGTTGATTTGTTCGGCGTAAATTATGTTGGGGTGGGGAAAAGGCGTTTCATTCCTTGTGTTTATTTATACTGTATAGGGGGTATATTTTGTATTTCAGGATCTGATCTGACCATGTGGTTGCATAATTTTTTGCTGGTTCAAAGAAGTGTCTTGGACAATTTTGGCCAATCAACTGAATTGTTAGAACTACAAAGCAAGTTTACAATCATTTCAATTCCAGACACTATGTAAACAACACCAAACATGAATCACTCTGTAATTTTCCAATAATTCAATTTATCAGCTCATTAAATCCTTATAAAACTCAATGGCACAAAGGATTTTTAAATCTTTTTATTTTTTTTCAGTATAATATTTGTGTGAGAAGGTTGCTCATCAATAATGAATCTACAATTATAAGAGCGACTAGGCAACATGTCTCTGAACACATGGAACAGTTAAAAAATCAATGGTTCTCATGTTCCTGGCAATTGTTTCCTTAAGTTTCTTCAAATGTCAAGGCTACAACTGTAACCCTGCTGAATTTCATTATTATAAGATTCCTTAAAGCCCTGAAAGGTCACGGTAACAAATCACGTAACCCTGCTGAATTTATATAAATATGCACTTAAAGTCTTAATTGTCCCTCTTTAAATATGCAACTGCTTCTTTTTATTCACTTATTTAAAGGCACATTATGCCTTGGTAATGAATAAATTTTTCATGATGCAGAAACAGCAAATATGTGTTAAATAATGTTGTTATAACTAACTTGGAACATGCAAGATGCTCAATTCACCTGAATAAAATAATGTTGAATGTGAAATAATTAGTGATAAACTAACCAGGTGGCAAAATGTAAACAAAGTGGTATTTTGACTTCTGTACAAATTACAAATTCACTATAACTGTACATTAAAGCAACAAAAGATGGCTCAGAAATATGGCTATTTATATATATATATAGTGAGTAACATTTTGGAAACTATTACAGGACACCAAAGCTAAAAAAAGCTTTTAAAAATTATATTGATAATCATTTATGAGGCTCGATGGGCCTTTAAAAAGGTATTTAAACTTTTATCTCATAAAGTATATTCTTATTTCATTTATAATTGTTAAATTAGATGATGTTGTTCTCATAATTTTATGGTAGATATGCCATCAGTAATAAGGGGAGGCAAACACTGACTTATAATATCTGTCATCTGTTGCGGTTTGGACATAAAGTGCGGTAAAATGATGTTGTTCGGCACAAGACTCATCTGGCACCCACCATGCCAGATGAAATTTCCGGCATGGGTAAAACTCACGGAAACGCCAGTCTGCTATGCAAGTAAAATGGGAGCTAAATTTAAGTTTCCCTAAATTTAGTAACGGACAGTTCCGAATTCAAGGCAGGGTAAGTTTATTATGCAAATTTAGAGGCATATGGGTTTGAATATTTACTTAATCTTTCATCATTTCATGAAAAAAAACCATGTATATCAACATGGCATTAAAACAGACAAAACAGCACTTTCAGCAAAATTTTCCTGGAAGATTTAGAATCATGAAAAAAGCAAATATTCACACTAATCTAATAAATTCCAATGTAAAATAAATCAAACCAACCTGGTATTTCTACTTGATTAAAATATCTTGAACAGAATAAAATTCCAGCTTCAAAACAAACAAAAAAACACAATCCCAGTTCTAAGCCTCTTTACCACCCTAATCACTTTGCAAATTAAATTCCTTCCAAATTGTTATCTCTATTTCCCCTTTCAGTTATAATTAAACCTTCATTTGAAAATATAATTCCATCCGAAGCACTTCAAGTCTTGAAAAGTGGCAGAGCAACAAACAAGTGGTGACATGAAGTTAAAACACAGACAAAATATATCCTAATAAAAAATACGCAAAATTTTCAGTACACGCATGTGAAATCCATTATATCCTGAAAATTTTTCTTTTTCAACAGAAAAAAAGGAGAAACTTCCTGGTGCTTTTGATTCAGTGTTACGTTAATCAATGTTTCAACAATCATGAATGGAAAAATGCCAAGAAAGCCTGGAAGATAAATACTTCACAAGTCTCTCTATGTGTCATGTGCCTAATACTTCACACAGGAAGCTTAACAAAATCTTTTCACTGTTTCTTCTTTTACTTAGCTTCAAGGTTCTGAAAAAAAACAAGCTCAAGGCTGAGCATTTTCTTTCAATTGCAAAATTTTAATTTGGAGACCAGTCTCGAGAACTTTTTACAAAACTTCAGCATCTAAAAAGGTGTCTTTTACAAGGTCAAATGTATGAAAGAATTAATTTTGGGGACTAAGTTTCAATTTTCAGAATTTGTACACCAGTCAGTCTGGCACCGTGTTCTACTTTTTTCATGAGGGAAGCTTTGCATCTTGACCATTTTCCATTAATACATTGAGTTTATATTGAGTTTGAAAATTGAAAATTTCATGTGAAATTATAGCCCAAGTTCAGGATAAATTGTCAATCCGTAATCTGGCAATCATGCAATATGGAGATTAAACTTTTCAATATTTTTAAGAGTCTGGAAAATTAAAATGCTTGACTCACACTCAGGGACTGATCACTCTTAGGTCATATCCTCAAATTTGGAGAACTTTTTTAGCACCTCAATATAGCATAACTGTATTCTAAATTTTATGCTCCACTCAAACCCTCCCCCCACCCCCTCCCAGCTAAATATCCATTTTCTCCTAGATAGATCTTACATGGACTTGTCAATCTTTAAATCTGAACAAAAACATGCATCAAATTTAGAGAAATTTCAAAACAATCCAACCAAATGAATTCAAGAGCAAACATTTCAGACCATGATCTTGGTCACCACTTGCAGCATGGGCAGTTTCTGTAGCCACCTGGCAGCAGCCAAATGGTTAATGTACAAGTTTGTTACAAAATTATCTTTATTATCATATCATATTGTTAACATAAAACAGCCAAGTTATCATGATAATTGATATAAATGGTAAATATTATAAAGAAATAATGTAATGATTTTAATTTACAATGAAAACAGCTGGCAACATTTTGTGATAAATAGCTTCTGATGGAAGTAATGCTAAAAAATAAAATAGACTAAAAACTGCTGATTTTACAAAACACCCCAGGATATCAAAATGAAACAACAAAAAACACTTTCTCAACAGAACATATTACCTGATAACACCTACTCTGCCTTTATCATCATGCCTTGATTACAGTTTTTTCCTTGAAATGTTTGGATCACTTATTGCTCTAAAAGTGAAGGTTATATTTAACCATATCACACCTAAATATTGAAATAATGGGACTGACTCTGTTTGAATTTGGAACAGTTCATTCTTATTTTAAGGAGTTTTCCAGAAAGCATCAGCAAGCAATTATATCACTGCCATGAATTACTGAAATGGGACTTGTCCAGCTTTCATATTTGGAACTGTCCATTATCAATTCTAGGGAATTCAAGATGAAAATTTTTTTAAGTTGGTCAGCTGACATTGGTCGAACAGTACAGCCTGATCTGGCTTTATATTCTCACCAGGTAGCAGAGGCTTTTCATGGCTTCAGCAGGAAAATGATTTATGCTGAAAACTCAAACTGTTTGTATCATAGAGAAAATGGTGCCATTGTTGTAATAAAATCATGATTTAGACAGAGATAGGAGATTAAGATGCTTACATTTATCTATGATAAATTCTTGTTCATCATATTTATAGAGATAATATGCAGAGGAAGGATAATAATGAACTGGATTAAAAGAAGAGCACAGAAATTGTGCATATTAAGAATTAACTGTAACCTGCTGAATAGTTTTATAATGGAAAAATTGCCCTACTCTGAATTTAATGGAACAGTCCATTTAGAAATTTCAACATAATCAGCTCAAGAGCAAATCTATATGTGTGAGGGCATAATTAAGAAAGATAATTTTTCTAACATTAAAAACTAAGCTTAACAATTGAAGCCTTTTTTGTTCTTTGAATTTTTTTAATATGTTTACATCATTCTTACCAAAAAAAATGAAAACACACATCAGTCTGGAAACAAATAGTGAGTCTCAAAGCATCTGAATTCCAACTAAATTACTGTTTATCGCATGGTGCTTTTTTGGTTCCCTAGCTTTTAAATTTGCATTGCTCATTAATAATGGATACTGTTTGAAGTTTTACAATTTTTCCCAATATTTATTTGCGGAAGAATGCACTGTTAAAACGACTAGCTGTATTATTTTGTTCTCTGGGTTGTTATTTTTTTTCTATCTCAGGGGAGTTAGTTCAATCTATTTTTCTTCCCCCTA